GGCGGAGCCTCCGTCCCAGCAACCTCGACGATCAATGGGGGGAAGCAGGGGCATGGTGGAGTGCTACTGCAGGCCCGAGTTGGATTGCAGAGTTGGCCAGTCACAGACAGCCACAAGCGTCTCCACCAGCGCCCTGAACACATGGGCGAGAAGACGCAGTGGACAGGCCAGTTCGTGAGATTCGAAGGGGGCATAGAGATACTGTTCGTAGCAGCCTATTTCGTCGTGGACGGCGGCCTGGCAGATTGCAACCTTGTCATGATGGGCGAGATCGCTAGCTTGGTTACGGCCACAGACAGACCATTCGTCCTCATGGGTGGCTGGATCATGACGCTGGATGAGATTGGCCCCGCTGGTTGGGGCACCTACTTGAGAGGGAAGTGGATCACGCCAGGGGACCGCCCAGCAGGTGGACGCCTCATGGATTACATGATGACATCGGAGGACTTGATTGGTGCGCTCACGCTAGAGTGGGACATGGACGGGCCATGGGCGGCCCCTCACTTCGGCATGATAGCAAAGTTGGACAAGCAAGCGTTCAGGTACCAGTACCGCATCCCGCTGGCGCCAGCCGCGATCACGGTAGGGATGAGGGGACCTGACAAGCCATGGGTCGAGCACGTGGAGGCGATCCAGCAGTTCAAATGCGAGGCCCTGGAGGACGAGAGGTGCCAGAACCTGCCCAGGGGCAAGCGCGAGGTCTCAGCAGCATACATGGAGTTCGCGCTCGCTGCTGAACACCTGCTGGCCCAGAGGGGCGTCGCGGTCGAATGCCAGCGAGCTGCCGCGCGCCGTGGCCTCCTGACCGAGACGAAGATTGTGAGCGCGGTGGAGCCGAAGCCGCCTGGCTGGATGAAGAGCTCGGAAGGCCTCGCGAGGTGGATGGCACTTGAGGCTCGTTTCAAAGAAGTGCAGGTGGTCCTTGGCAAGAGGAAGAGGGCCTTCCTGGTGGACCGTGCCTGGGAGAGTATGCTCAAGCTGGCCCGGCGCTGCCAGGACGTGGAATCCACCATGACAGATGAGCGCAGCCAGGCTGTGCTCGCGCAGATTTTTGCACTCGCTGCGCCGCCTGTTGCCACTGCTGCTACTCTGGAGGGAGTGGGGGTGGAGTTGGGTAGGGCTGTGAGGGGGGTCGAGCGTAAGCAAAGTCGAGGCCACTCCAAAGGATTTAAGGAGTGGGTCATCTCTAGTTTGCGAGTTGGGGCAGGCGCCCTACACCGATGGGCCAAGTCGTGGGGCAAAGAAGACCCCAGGCTGGCCCAAGAGTTTGACAGTTGCCATCGCGTCATCAGAGAACCGCTCAAGATTGTTGAGGCGAAAGCTGAGTATTGGACTAGGTTCTGGTGCCCGAAGGACCCCGAAGGCCGCCCTAGAGGGAGACCTCAAGAGGAGCCTTGGTGGCCCGAGTTTAGGCAGCTCGCGCAGGCAGATTTTGCTGAGGCTGCCCTCCTCACTAGTGAAAAGCTCGGGGCAGGCCTCAAGGCTTTTAGGCGCAGCATAGGTATGGGCCTCGACTGCCAGAACCCCAGATGGTGGGCCCAAGTCCCCGAAGAAGGCCAGCAGCAGCTGCTGCAGGTCTTGCAGAGTGTCGAGCAGTGTCTAGAATGGCCTGTGCAAGTAGAAGACAATGTGGTCCAATTGAATTATAAGTCAGAGACAGCTGGCCGCCCCATAACCCTGACCCAGGCCTTATATAGGACCTGGTCGGTGCTGCGCAGAGAAGAAGTCGCCAGGTGGGCCGAGGAGGGGGTCGAGTTTTGGGATCGGGCGGTGCGAGGGAGTTCCCCACTTAGAGCGGCCCTCTTGCGTCAGCTCCGTCTGGAAGTTGCCGGTGTCCAGGGTTTTTCCTGGTTGGAGATCCTCTGGGGCCTGGAAAAGTTTTACGATCATCTCCAGTGTGGTGAAATCTTCCGACTGGCCAAAATCGCGGGGTACCCCATGGGCCCACTCTTTTTGGCCATGCAGATCCACTTCAGTCCTCGGAGCTTGAGGGCCGAAGGGGGCCTGAGTGAAATCATCATCCCGTTTAACGGTTTGCTTGCTGGTTGCAACCAGTCGGTAGACATCTCGCGAGTTTCACTGTGGGAGATCCTACACGAGTTGCATGCGAAGTATTGGCCGCTGCAATTGGACACTTGGGTAGACGATATGTCCCAACGCATGTTCGGGCACAGCCGTCTCGTCCAGGAGAGATCAGTGCAGGTGGCCTCTGCACTTGTTGCGAAATGTTCTGCCAGCGGCCTTGTCATTTCAGGTAAACGCACCGTCGTTTCAAACCCGCCAGAGCTAGGAGAGAGAGTTGCTGAGGCCCTTAGAGCCAAGGGAATTAAGCTCCAGACCTCGCAGCGAGTCAAAGATTTGGGGGTGGACGGGTCGTCGGCTCGTCGTTCGGTCGGCACGATGAAGAAAATACTCTCGGCTGCTAGAGGTAGGGGCAACATGATTGCCCAAGTTGCCAAGTCAAACCCGCAAGCCGCTAGGTTAGGAAAAACAGGTTTCCTCCCACAGGCCACGTGGGGTTTTGAAGGCATGGGGTTGGCACCGTCAACCCCCCAGAAGCTCCGTTCCCAGGTGTCTGGGCTCACGGGGATGAGAAGGGAGGGGGGCTGTGTCACCATTGCCATTCGTCTTGCTCTGTCCTCGAAGCAAGACCCGCTTGTTTTTTTGACAGCAGATTTTTCAGACATGGATGGAGATGTTGCCTGCGATTGGGCGACGCGCGTGCACCGCTGAGCCTGGCCTGGAAAAAGTTGTGGCGTGAAGTGAGTCAGGCCAAGTCCAGGTGGGGGAGAATCAAAGGCCCCATGGGGGCAGTCGTCGCCAACCTGCTGGACCTCGGCTGGGAAGCTCCTGAACCCTGGCTCTGGGTCGACCCCGTGGACGGAGAGGCCTTTGATTTGCTGGAGGGAGACACCGATCGTCTCCTTGAGCTTGCCTTGGGATGTGCAGTCGAGGCTAAGCCATGGCATATGGCCAGCCAGCATTATCACGGTGAGCCTGAGGACCTCACGGTTGCGTTCAGACACCTCAGCAGGCTTAAGAGCCGCCAGGAATATGATAAAGTAGCTGTGCTCCAGATGGTTTTAACGGGGGCCTTGTGGCCCAACTCCAGGGGGTTTGGACTGGAGGGGAAGAGGGGGGATGCGGGGGCCGCACGGCGTGGGGACCCAGGGGGCCAGGACCTGGACTCGGCCTCCCTCCTCCAGGCTGCAGGCGAGGCCATCATGTCGGTGGCCGATCCTCCCTCGCTCCCTCCTGCTGCTGCGGCTGCTGAGGACTCGCCCCTGCGGATGATTTCGACCACCTGTGTGACCTCGCCGCGCAAGAGGATGAGCTGTTTTGCCAGCCGAGTGGGGAGCCAGAGGACTGGGGGCTTGGGAGCCCTGGCCCGCCCATTGCTGGCCACGCCCCCAAGACCTCCGCCTGTCCCCGATGTGGAGCCTTGGAGGAGACTCTGTTTCACCAGACGTGGGAATGCCCCAAGAATGCCGACATTCCTGGAACCCATCCTGAGCTTCTGGAGGCGGCCCGTGTGGGCGTTGAGACGGCCCCAATATTCTGGCTCCGAGGGCTTCCCCCGACGCCCTGGACCCAGGAGATAGCTGATGCTGTCACCGAGTCGTCTCCCGTGTATTCGGCCTCCCTGCAGGAGGGCCCTTTCAAGCTGGAGGGAGGGGGCGTGGCTGGGTCGGATGGGTCGGGGGGAACGTACTCGTCGGAGCCTCGCCTGCGCCGTTGTGCCTGGGGTTTCAGTGTCATCAGAGACTTCAGGCTTGTGGCGTGGGGGCGGGGGCCCCTCCCTGGTTTCAAGCAGACAGCCCCTTGCTCAGAACTGCGGGGGGCCACAGAAGTCCTTTGGCACACAGAGGGTGATGTCAACCTGGCAGTCGACTCTGCGTGTGTGGTCAAGGCCTTTTGGAAGGGCCCAGGTCATCGTCACACGACCAATCGTTTTGCTTGGAAGGAGTTCTGGCGTGCAGCGGCTGGCCGCAATGTCAGAATGATCAAGGTCAGATCCCATGCTCGGCCAGAGGATGTTGGAGAGACCCTCTGGCTAGCAAACGGGGCGGCGGACGCAGGTGCCGAAGAGAGTGCGCGCCAGTGTCAGGTCCCTCCCGAGGCGATAGGACGCCTCATCGAGGCTGATGGCCTCGCCTTTCAGGTGCAGGAGCACTCGCTGGCGGTGGCCCACTCCATCTGCACGCAGGCGCGTGCGCTCTATGGGCCCTCGTCTCGTGCAGCCAGGATTGCCCAGCAGAAGGAGCGGGGGAGGGGGGCGGCGGCGGCGGTGGAGGAGGCTCGCCGCAGGTCGACCCACGCCCTTTTCCGAGACCGCCAAGGCTGGCGATGCATGATGTGCGGGGCCAGGGCGGAGGCTGGGCGGGAGTTGGAGTGTTTTTTTTTTTTTTTGGGGGGGGGGGGCGGGTAGGCCTGAGTCCCTGCGCCCGTCTCACCGACTCAACGTCACGAGGGGTGTGTTTTGGTGTGAAGTATGTGGGAGTTGCGGGGCCCGATCTCGAGGGGGAATGGGCCCCGTTAACGTGCAGAAGCTGACCAAGGCCTGCGAGCCCATGACTCGGGGAGAGTGGGGGGCTCGTGTAATCAAGGCCTTGGCCGCGGGCCGTTTGCCGCCAGGCTACAAAGTCTGGCCAGACGAAGCGGGGTGATTCTCCGATTCCGTCGAATCCTCGGTTTTCGAATCGTTTCGCTCGCCGTGCCTGATTAGAGGGGCTCGCGGTGGATTCCCGAAGAAGAAGAGGAATTGGAGGAGGAGGCGGAGGATGAGGAGGAGGACGAGGAGCCGGGTTAGGAGCAGGAGCAGGAACAGGAGCAGGAGCAGGAGGAGGAGGAAGAGGGGGGGAGGAGGAGGAGGAAGAGGAGGAGGACGAAGAGGAAGAGGAGGATGAGGAGGAGGAGGAGAGGAGGAGGAGGAGGAGGAGGAGGAGGAGGAAGAAGAGGAGGGGGAGGCGGAGGATGGGGGGGAGAGCAGCAATGCTGAGCAGGCGGAGGCGGGTCGAGGCGGGTGGAGGCCCGATGCGCCATGGGCGCCGCCCCGCCTGGGGCGGCGCGGCCGACCAGGGCTCGCGCGGAGCCTCCTCTGGCGCGCGGCCTGCTGGCTAATGGCGCGGGCTGGCGCCGCTCCTCCGCCGCGGACTCCCTCGGGCTCCTCCCCCTTCTCCTCCTCCTCTTCGTTCTCCTCTTCGTCCTCCTCCTCCTCCTCCTCCCCATCCCCCCCCCTCCTCCTCCTTACCTCCTCCTCCTCTTCCTCCTTCGCCTCCTCCTCCTCATCCTCCTCATTCTCCTCCTCCCCCATCGACCTCCTCCCACTGGGCTGGGCGTTTGGCTTGAAACTTCCTCACCATTTATGGTTCTGAAGTTTAAAAAGCGACAGCGGTTTCACAGGTGGAGGGCGGGCCGCTTTCAAAATGCGGCTTTCGCCGTAGCGCCGCTCACATTCGTTTTCAACATTTGGAAGAGTTTCACTGGTTGAGGGCGGGTCGTTTTCAAAATGTGGCTCTCGCCTTAGCGCCGCGCACATTCGTTCTCAAATTTTGCAAGAGTTCCACGGATTGAGGGCGGGCCGTTTTCAAACTGTGGCTCTCGCCTTAGCGCCGCGCGCAGTCGTCTTAAACATGCAAGAGCTTCACGGGTTGAGGGCGGGTCGTTTTCAAACTTTGGTTCTCGCCTTGGCGCCGCGCAGATTCGTTTTAGAAATTTTGAAGGAGCTTCACGGAGTGAGGGCGGGTCGTTTTCAAACTGTGGCTCTCGCCTTAGCGCCGTGCACATTCGTTTTACACATTTGCACGAGTTTCACGGATTGAGGGCGGGTCGTTTTCAAACTGTGGCTCTCGCCTTCGCGCCGCGCACATTCGTTTTTCCCTACCTAGGCTCTGCCTAGAAGGGTTCTTACTCTCTATCTTAAAGGGGCCGGGCAGTGCTACACGCCCCGGGCGGTTCCCCCAGTCCCCGCCCCGCGGTTCCCCCCAGTCCCCTGGGAACTTTAGCTTTAGCTTAGCTTTAGCTTAGCTGTAGCTTAGCTTTAGCTTAGCTTCAGCTTAGCTGTAGCTTAGCGTTTAGCTTAGCTTTAGCTTAGCTTTAGCTTAGCTTTAGCTTAGCTTTAGCTTAGCTGTAGCTTAACTGTAGCTTAGCTTTAGCTTAGCTTCAGCTTAGCTTTAGCTTAGCTTTAGCTTAGCTGTAGCTTAGCTTTAGCTTAGCTGTAGCTTAGCTTTAGCTCAGCTTTAGCTCAGCTTTAGCTTAGCTTTAGCTTGGCTTTAGCTTAGCTTTAGCTTAGCTTTAGCTTAGCTTTAGCTTAGCTTTAGCTCAGCTGTGGCTTAGCTTAGCTTAGCTTTAGCTTAGCTTTAGCTTAGCGTTACTGTTACTACTAATGCTGCTTTCCTAGGGGTTCCAACTCCTAGGTAGGGTCGCACTGGGATAATTAAACACCTTTGCAAGAACTTAACGGATTTCCATGATCAGCGTACCAGAAATGGTGTTTTGGAGGAATTCGGGATTATACGGGCGCAACAGATGATGATTCGTCGCGTTGAAGTCCCACACATGGCGTTCTGGCACGATTCTGGGTCGTCAGGACGCAGCAGTCAGGTTGATACGGGGCGTTGGAATCCCGAGAACAATATTTTGGCACGCTTCGGGATCTTCAAACTGTCTTCCAACGAGGCAGTTCCCTCAATGGAAATTAACCGTTGTAGGGGCCTACGGAGAGGGAGCGTTGGGGGAGGGTTAATTCCAACATCGTTGATGACTCTTGGGTTTCCACTGGTCCTCCTCCTCCTCCTCCTGCTCCCCCTCCTCCTCCGCCTCCCCCTTCGCATTCGGAGGGGATGTTGTGTCCTCGTCGCGACGACCCGCCTCGGGGCACCCTCCGTGTCCAGGAGGCCCTCTTTGCTGCCGCCGCATACAGCGAGCAGGCGTCGGAGGCTGTTGTGGGAGCTCTCGAACCGAGCCCGAGCCTGCACCAGTCCCCAAGGGGGCCCCGCAGCTAAGGCTTGGGGAGCGAGTGCCACGCATGGGGCCTCGGTGCCTGCGTGGTGTTCGTTCCCCTCGCCTGGGGTGCGTGGTCCGATTGGGCCTCTGGTTCAACTAAACGTTTTCAAACGTTATTCCTCCTCCTCCTCCTCCTCCCCCTCCTCTCTTCCTCCTGCCCCCTCGTTTGTCTCCGCTGTGGTCATGCCTCCAGCTGGCCGGCTCACAAATCTCGTGTTTGCGCTGTGTTTTTGTTGTGGCAGCCTTTCAGGAGGAAACGGCCACGTGGTGGGTTTCGCCGTGCTTCCCACCTGCTCCAGAGTTGTTCACAACTGCTCGTCTCTCTTGGGGGGGCGGCTCCATCTTGTTTGGTGGTTGGTGGCCAGCTTTCATAAGATGGTGTTTTGTCTATATCAGATGTGGCCTGCGGGCTTTTGCCCAACGCCAGTTTCGTGGGCGAGGAGAAACCCCGTGGGATAGAATTCGGAAGCCCCGTCGTAAAGTCTACCTCGATCGATTGGCGGCGGGCCTTGGTCAAGTCAGTCCAGCATGCCCGAGGGCAGGATTTTCTCAGCGGCTTTGTGAGATGGTTCGATACTCGATACCCCGCTCTTCCTCCCTTCCTCCTATTTCTCCCCCTCTCTTTCCTCCTTCCTCCTTCCTCAATCCTCCTCCTCCTCCTACTCCTCCTCATCCTCCTCCTCCTCCTCCTCCTCCTCCTCCTCCTCCCCCTCCTTCCTCCCTTCTCCTGCTCCCCTGCCTCCTCCTTCCTCTCCCCCTCTCTCTTCTCCTCCCCCATGCCTTCCTCCCTTCTCCTGCTCCCTCGCCTCCTCCCTCCCTCCGTCCCCCGTCTTCGCCCTCCTGCTCGCCCTCCTCGCCTCGCTGGTCTCGTTTTGTCCTGGCGGTTGGCCCGTTCAAGCTCTCCTCATTCCTGCAAGCACCTCAGTGCTGGTGTTGTTACCGTGGAGGATATGACGCTGCCGAGGCACGAGCATGGCAGGAGGAAACTGATGATGATGATGATGATGATGATGATGATGGTGATGATGCTGATGATGATGATGATGATGATGATGATGATGATGATGCTGATGCTGATGCTGATGCTGATGCTGATGATGATGATGATGCTGATACTGATGATGATGATGATGATGATGATGCTGATGATGCTGATGCTGATGCTGATGCTGATGCTGATGCTGATGCTGATGCTGATGCTGATGCTGATGCTGCTGATGATGATTATGATGATGCTGATGTTGCTGCTGATAATGATGCTGCTAATGATGACGATGATGCTGATGCTGCTGATGCTGATGATGCTGATGCTGATGATGACGATCATGGTGCTGAGGATGATGCTGCTGATGATGATGATGATGATGATGATGATGATGATGATGATGATGATGATGATGATGCTGCTGATGATGATGACGATGACGATGACCATGATGATGATGATGCTGATGATGATGATGCTGATGCTGCTGATGATGCTGATGATGATGTTGTTGATGATGATGATGCTGATGCTGATGCTGATGCTGATGATGATGACGATGATGATGATGATGATGATGCTGATGATGATGATGATAATCATGATGCTGATGCTGCTGATGATGCTGATGATGACGATGATGATGATGTGCTGATGATGATGTGATGATGATGATGATGATGCGATCATGACGCTGATGATGATGATGATGATGCTGCTGCTGGTGATGCTGATGATGATGGTGGTGCTGATGATGATGCTGCTGCTGCTGATGATGATGATGATGATGATGATGATGATGATGATGATGATGATGATGATGATGATGATGATGATGATGATGATGATGAGATGATGATGATGATGATGATGATGATGATGATGATGATGATGATGATGATGATGATGATGATGAGGAGGAGGAGGAGGAGGAGGAGGAGGAGGAGGAGCAGGAGCAGGAGGAGGAGGAGCAGGAGGAGGAGGAGGAAGATGAGGAGCAGGAAGGAGTCTTAATACCAGTACGACCAAGAAAGCCATCCACATTACAAGTAGTACGAATTACGATACACATAGGAGCAATAAGAAGCGGCGCAGGAGAGGCTGGGAGAATCGAGAGCTCATGGGGTTCCCCCCCCACCCCCCGCGGCGCGGGCGAGCGGGTACCTTCTTACTCGCGCAGCCGACCCAGTGAGGCCGCGCCAATACTCGGCGGCGCGCCTGGGGGGAAGTTGAGAGGCGGCCATCCTTCTTAGAAGGCTCGGAAGGCCTGCGGCCTTCCGAGAAGTTTTCTCAGCCTTCCCCGAAGACACATAACACTCTGCAGAAGGCGCGAGGACTTCCGAGAAGCCCCGCCGCCTTTGGAGAAGGTTTGCTCCTTGTCCCTTCCGACCCCTCGCTCGCCGCCGAGATGTGTTGATCCGGGGCCGCCCACCAAAGCCGCGGCCGTTTGCCCCTCGGCGCTGTGTGCCGCCAGAGTGGTGCCGCCTGCGGCGCAGCCTTTTTCTGGCGCGGCACGGTCTCGCTGCCCAAGGTCGGAGGGCGCCAGGTCTCCGCCACAACGGCTTTTCGAGGGCCGTGGGTAGCCTGCTGGGGGTCTGCGGTGGCCCGGCACTGGTTCTGGCCAGCAGGAAGGGCGGGCAGGTCCGAGGCGCTGGGGCCGGTTTTTGGCCCTCGTTCGGTACTCCAGATTTCGTGATGAAAGGGAGGGGGTCTCAACCCTCCCAGACGAGAAGTTTTAGACCCTCCCAGACCATCCATGAAAGGGCGGCCCTTTGCCCAGACCCCCCCGAGCCCTCCAAGACAGCTCAAATCAGACCCCCCCAAATGTGACCCCCCCGACTTTATTATGGAATCCGGAGTATCCGATGCCGGTTTTCGGACCTTGAGAACGTCAGAACCAGATTTGGGGTAAAACATTGCACCACAGGGACCTCGGGAGGAATCCGGGAGCCAATCTTGAGCGGATTTGCTCTTGTCCCCCCTTCTTGACAGACTTTCTGGGGGCCCGTCCAGCTCATGCCCCCTGGCCGCCTCCAGCGAGGGCCGCCAGGCGGTTCTCGTCTTTTTCGGGCCTCTGGGAGGCCCCTCTGGTGCCATCAGCAAGGCGGCTCACGGGGCCGTGGCCAGAGCGCATCCATGGATCGCGGAGGAGGAGGAGGAGGCTCAGAAGACTTTCCAAGGTTACCCTTGCATCCTTCCCCTTCGGCCCATCCTCGGCCGCTGCCGCTGGCCGCGCCCCGCCCGCAGGGCGTCGGCGTGGCCCTCCAGGGCCCTTGCATCCTAGCCGCGCATCCTTGTTCTACGGGTCGACTGTACCCAGGACGAGTCAGAGCGATTCGGAACTTCAGGAGACGCACGTGAAGGACGCACGAGTAGGAAGAGGAGGAGGAGGAGGAGGAGGAGGAGGAGGAGGAGGAGGAGGAGGAGGAGGAGGAGGAGGAGCAGGAGGAGGGAGAAGGAGGAGGAGGAGGAGGAGGAGGAGGAGGAGGAGGAGGAGGAGGAGGAGGAGGAGGAGGAGGAGGGGGAGAAGGGGCGATTCGGAACTTCAGGAGAGGGCTCAGGGGCCCGATGCCTTCCAGGCCGCCTGCCCTCCCAACCGCAAGGCCGGGGCGGCGTCGGCCGCACGCGGAAGGCTCTCTCTCTCTCTCTCAAGTACGGCGTCTCTTGGATTCGGGGAGCTGGGTAGCAGTACCAAACGTTCGTTGAGAGTAGGTGGTTTTGGATTCCCATATTTCAATCTACTTTAAGGGCCTTCCTACTTCAATGATCGAGTGGCTTCACCTTTTCCGTTCGCCCCAGGGGGCGGACGGAACCCAATCTACTTTCAACGCCTTCCTACTTCATGTTTATACCTACTTCTTCCCACCGATGGGTAGATGGAAACAGTCATTGGTCCCCAACTTCAAAGTTGACACGCGCGGAGGAGACTGCGGCCGAAGTGCAACTCATCTCATCAGACCCACCGCTAGCTTGAAACACTGGGAGGAGGGGGAGGCGTTGACCGATTCGTGTGGCATGGGTGTTCGCTTTTTTTTTGTTTGTTCCCCCCCCCGAGGCCAGAGGTATCGAGTAGGGGATCGACTGCAGGATCGAATTACCTCAAAAGCAATTATTCGCCGAGTTGTGGTAGAGTCGGCACAATAATCAAATATGGGGTACACTGATTCTGTTGTCGATCCCCTGCTCCGAAAGTGGCTCCTCCTGCTCCTCCTCTCCCTTCTCCTCCTCCTCCTCCTCCTTTTCCTCCTCGTCCTCCTCCTCCTCCTCCTCCTCCTCCTCCCGCGCGGGAAGCCTGCCGCGTTCGCGCGCTCTCCCGGGCCCGGTCCGGTTGGGCGCGCCTCCTGGGCCCCGGGATCTCCACGGGCGCGGTGGGGCGGGGGCGTACGCCAAGCCCCCCCCCCCGCCCCCCTCGGTCGGTGCGATCCCGGACCCCCTCGCGTTGTGAACAAACAAACCCAGTGCGATCCCCTGCTCGAAAGCGGCTCCTCCTGCTCATCCCCCGTCTCCCTTTCCCTTCCAGGGTGGACAGGCCTCCTGCCCTGACACGTCGATTAGCGAATTGACCGTTGTCGGTTCGCGAGAGGGCGTCGGGGCCGTCACTTTGGCGGGTCCAGGTCCGTCGGTTTCGGTCCCAGGCCGTTTTCACTCAAGGGTGGTTTACGAAAGGGAGGTTTGCCCACCGCCGATTCCACCTCCTCCTCCCCCCCTTGCCTCCGCCGATCCTGGCCCTCGGCATCGCTCGGACGTGTGTATCTTCCTTCGGCGAGGACCATCGAGGAGCATCCTTGATCATTTGGCGAAAAAACCACGCACGGAACCGAAAAAAGCACAGGGAATGGACGTCCGAGCGATGGCGAGGGCCGGGCCAGTCTTGGGCCCTGGACATCCGGGGCCCCCTCGCGTTGTGAAGAGCAGCACGACGGAGGTGTGTTTTATGGTTCCTCTAATTGGGGAGCACTTTCGGCCACTGGGGCCCCGGGGCCATCCTTCTGCGGGTGGACCCGAACCGCTCCGTGCCCAGACCCCCTTGCGTCGTGCAAAGTCACCACGGGAGGTTTCTGACCATTTTCGGCCTCCAGGAGCCCTTGACGGGCCCCGGGGAAGTCAACACTCACGACGGGAGGTTTCTCGGTCTTTTCGGCCTCTGGGAGCCCTCACCGGGCCCCAGGGCCGTGAGAAAACCATTCCGGATGAGGAACGGGTCCCGGGAGAGGGGTCCAGACCTTTGGGGGTCGGCGTTGTGACAAACATCACGACGTCGGGGGTCTGGGATCGAAGTGGGTGCGGTGAGAGAGGGGCAACGATAAGGGGGGACAGACATCGGGGAGGATGCATCGACCCCTAATCGCCCATTGATCGGCGATATCGGTCTGATAGCCCCACCTCGCCCAGTAACGTGCGGGTTCACTATCGGGGGCCTATCGCCGATCTGTCGGCGATGTATCGCCGATTTCAGGTCGATGTTTCCCCCCCTATGACAGTCCCCCCTTATCGCTGCCCCTCAGGAAGGATACCAAGAACGGCAGCAGTTCCTCTCCATTCTGAGCAGGACTCGTCGTCGGCGTAGCCGCGGACGTTGTCCATTTGAGACAGAAGGCCGCCTGCCCGACAGCGGCCGGTGTCGATTTTGGACTCCATTTGCTGTTGGGCATCGTGCCAATTGTCTCCGTATCCAAATTCGGGCGTCCACTGAATCATTTGTTGATGTTGGAAATGCCAGAGGCGTTTCTTCTTGTTGTTTATTGTTTTTCTTGATCCGTTTTCAACCGTTCGCAATTCGGCCCACCCAGCGGGAGAAACATCATCGGAAGCCTGCCTGAGGCAGCCACAAACGACGGCAATGCAACACGGACTCCGAACCCCGAACGCCGCGAAGGAGAACCCCCCAAAACGGAAAAGCAAGTGACCCCCCAAGCGGGGATACCACGTCGATATTGAAAACTGCAAGAAGCCCCCCCAGCGTTCCTGAAACCATCTGAGGGCAGGCCCCTCCTGTCAGTATCGTTTTTTAACCGACCCCCATCCCCATTCCCATCCCCCTCGAGACTCCCACCAAATTACCCCCCCAATTGGGGATACGCCCCTCGAAACCCGACGGAAACGACCTATATCCCCATATAGGGGGGCAAGTAGGCCAGTGGGGCCCAGGCCACGCCGCTGGGGATGGGGATCGGTTAAACGATACTCATCCTGGTGCGGGTCGGGTCCGGTCCGACGCCGTTCTTCTGCAACGCGCGCCGGCAGACGCCCAGGGATCACCACGGGCTCCGCGCCCGGGGGAGTGCCGAGCGCCCCCGCGGGCAGCAGACCCCCCCCCGCAGGGCCGCGAGCGTGCGAGGGCGGGACAGCGGCACGCCTCGCGATGGCCGACGCAGAGAGCCACGGGAGCGCCCCACTGTGAATCAATGGTTTCGCAGCCGGGGGCGCTTGATACCCTCACGCTGGCACGTCAAGGTAGAAGCTTTCCAGCGGCCCTAGGGCAGCGCCCCTGGCTTAACGGGCGAAGAACGGTATAAGATACACTTTTTCGCTGTCGGGGGCGCCTGTCCCTGGGCGGCTGGAAAGTCTATACCCCTATGGTGCCACCGTAGGGGTATAAACTTTCCAGCCGCGCTGGGGCAGGTGTCCCCGACGGCGAAAAAGTTTATTTTGTACCGCTCTTCGCCGGTCAAAAGGTAGAAGCTTTCCAGCGGCCCTGGGGCAGCGCCCCCGGCGACGGACAAGTGTGTGTTATGCTAGTCCTGCGCCCGCGGCCACGCCCCGGCGCGGGGCGGGAAGCCGGGCTCGCGCCCGCCGCCCCGCGCGGAGGGTCTCGGCCCCGGGTTCCCTCGCGAGGGCCGTGCTGGCGCGGGGGTTCTCTGGGCGTTGCGGGCGTGCGCTGAGCCCTTGGGCTCCTCCTCCCCCTGCGAAGCGCAGCAGAGGCTAGCTTGAGTCGGGCATGTCCCTCGACAGGAGGAGCGTTCAAAGAGTGACAGACCAGTCAGGGGACGACGTTTCTACTATTTTGACTTTCTTTGAGCATTTATTGGACTGCTTGTTTTGGTCCTCCAAAATCCGCCTGTAGGAGGACATGCCCGACTCAAGGCTAGCTCTGTCGAGCGGAGTTGCAGCTCGATCGACACATCGTCAGGGACGATGCTGGGGAATTCCCTTTCAGTCTCATGGCGGGGCTTGTCAGCCACCGTGTTTCAGGAGGGTAACCAGTGCTGGGTGCTTGGTCCCCCCATGGGCCTTGGTACCCACAATGCAACCAAATTGTAGCACGTCCTCCTCCTCCTCCTCGTCTTTCTTGTCCCTCCTCATTCCGCATTCCTCGTTTCTTGTTCCTCCCCGTCGTCCCCCCCTTCCGAACGTCCTCCTTCTCCTACTCCGCCTTCTCCTCCTCGTGCCCACAGGATCGGCCTGGACGCGATCGGCGTCGGTGTATAGTAAATCTGGCGTCCTCCCATGCTTGGGCCTTGGCTGTGTATGTTTTTTGATGTCTGGGCGTCTTAGGGGGCGCTCGGGCACGCGGAGAGGCGAAATGTCTGCGCCCGCGGGATTGTGGTGATGATGGTGGTGGTGATGCTGCTGCTGATGCTGATGCTGATGCTGATGCTAAGGTTGATGCTGCTGCTGATGATGGTGTTGATGTTGATGACGATGGTGTCCATGACGATGATGATGGTGATGGTGATGATGCTGATGATGATGCTGATTAGGATGATGCAACTGATAATGCTGCTGACGATGATGATGACGTTGATGCTGGTTCTGCTGATGATGCTGATGATGGTTATGATGATGGTGAAATGATGGTCATGATGAGGCTGACCATAATGACGATACTGATGATGATGCTGTGGAATTGACGACGATGATGACGATGGCGACGACGATTATGATACTGATGATGCTGATGATGCTGATGATGATGCTGGTGGTGGTGATGATGACGATGACGATGACGATGACCATGATGATGATGATGATGATGATGATGATGATGATGATGATGATGATGATGCTGATGATGGTGCTGATGATGATGAAGAAGGCTTGGAGGAGGAGGACCAGTGAAAACCCACGGTGCGCCAACAATGTTGCAATCTACCCTGCCTCCAAGCTCCCTCTTATAGACTTTCTTTGCACTGCCAGAAGTGCCCCGTTGAAAGACAACCGTTTGAGAATATTCAAGTGTGCCCAAACACAACTTCTGGGAGCATTCAACGCTTCGAGTCAGCTTTACGGTTGCGTCCCGACGATCCTGCATCGTGCCAGACCACCACTCTTGGGACATCACCACCGCGAGCGAACGCGACTGTTGCGCCCTGACAGTCCTAGATCGATTCGGAACACCGTGCCTAGGACGTCAACTAAAGATGAACGTACGCGGCGCTAAGAGGAGAGCCACATTTTGAACACGACCCTCCTTCCATCTGTGAAGCTCTCGCATCACCTATAAGACGAATGTGATTGACGCTAACGCGTGAGCCACACTTTGGAAACGACCCGTTCCCCATCCACATAATTCTTGCAAACCTTTCAGACGAATGTACGCTGTGCTAATGCGAGAGCTACAAGTTGAAGACGGCCCGCCCTCCATTTGTGAAGCCCTTGCGACCTTTAACATCGAATGTTCGCGGCGCTGGGTGCGAGCCACACTTTGCAAACGACTTGCCTTCCATCTGTGCAACTCCTTGCGCACTTTTAGGACGACTGTGCGCGGCGCTAGTGCGAGAGCCACAATGTGAAGACGACCCGCCCGCCCTGAATGTGTGAAACTCTTGCAACCTTTGAACAGATAAGGCGCACCGCTAGGGTGCTAAAAAGGAACGACCCGCCCTCCATCCGTGAAACTCTTGCAAGGACCCGCCCTCAATCCGTAAAGCTGTTGCAGCATTAAAGTCTCAAAATCACAATGTTGAGGAAGTCTCAGGCGAAACGCCTGGCCCGCCCTACTGACACGTCTCGAAGTGCGACAGGGAGGAGCTATTCATCAGGACAAGTGATGGGAGGGGGAGGGGGAGGACGAGGATGGGGGAGGAGGGGGAGGAGGTTGAGGGGGAAAAGGGGGAGGAGGGTAAAGACGAGGATGAGGAGGAGGAGGAGGAGGAGGAGGAGGAGGAGGAGGAGGAGGAGGAGGAGGAGGGGGAAGGAGGAGACGGGGGGAGCCAGCAGGAGGAGGAGGAGGGGGTGTGGAGGAGGAGGAGGAGGAGGAGGGGGAGGGAGAGGGGGGAGGGGGGGGAGGGCAAGCTAGGTGCGCTCGCGTCATATCTGACGTCCTACCCCTCCCTCCCATCCCTTACCATGGCGCTGATTTTCTCTATCCGCGGACGCGTGTCGTAGCGGACCTGTGGCTCCGCGCGCGCGTGCGTAGTGGGTGGTGGTGCACGTGCGTGCGTGCGTGCGTGTGTGCGTGGTTGTGGTGGTGGTGGTGGTGGTGTGGTGGTGGTGGTGGTGGTGGTGGTGGTGGTGCTGGTGGTGGTGTGGTGCTGGTGCTGGTGGTGGTGGTTGTGGTGGTGGTGGTGGTGGTGGTGGTGGTGGTGGTGTGGTGCGGCGCGGTGGTGGCGGGCGGATGGGCGCGCGAGAAAGAGGCCCGCGCTGGGGCGAGAACGCCATCCTGAACGACGGAGGCCAAACACCGATCCGAAAATGAGGCCCACGCTGCAGCGGGAGCACGATTCGGAACGATTCGGGAGCAGAAATGAGGCCGGCGCCTCAGCGAGAGCAGCATTTTGAAAAAAAACGCAGGCGAAACCCGTTTCCCGGGAATCCTGTGTAAAAAAACAGTGCTCGGGGGGGGGTCGGATATCTTCGGGACGCCATCAGGGGAAGTGGGAGAGTATTTTCATATTGTGTAATTGTGGAGGGGGAGGAGTTGCAGGAGGAGGAGGAAGAGGAGGGGGGGGGAGGAGGGGGGGGAGGACGAGGAGGGCAGGGCTGCGCCGGCCCGCCGTCGGAGGCCTCCGCGGGGCCCCACCGGCGTCGTCGGTGGGGCTCGTCTGGCGCCTCCTCGGCCTCCTCGGCCTCCTCCTCGGCGCCTCCTCGGCCTCCTCCTCGGCGCCTCCTCGGCCTCCTCCTCGGCGCCTCCTCGGCGCCTCCTCGGCCTCCTCGGCCTCCTCGTCGGTGGGGCTCGTCTGGCGCCTCCTCGGCCTCCTCCTCGGCGCCTCCTCGGCCTCCTCGGCCTCCTCGGCCTCCTCGGCCTCCTCCTCGGCCTCCTCCTCCGCGGGGCCCCACCGGAGTCTGGCGCCTCCTCGGCCTCCTCCTCCCTGAAGCCGGGGGTTCGGATTCGGGTGGTTGAGAATCGGGTGATTCGGGCGATCCACGTTCGGATTGGGGCGATTCGGGTTCGGATTCGGGTGGTTCGGGTTCGGATTGGGGTGGTTCGGGTTCGGATTGGGGTGATTCGGGTGATTCGGGTGGTTTCCGGTTATTCGGATTGGGGTGATTCGGGTTCGGATCGGGGTGTTTCGGATTCGGATTCGGGTGAAGCAGAAGAGGGATGGGAGCACAGCAGAAGAATCGGGACCCGAGTTTTGGAATCTGATGATGAGCATGATGCTGATCACGGTGTTGCCAATGATGGTGTTGCTGACGATGGTGATGTCAATGACGATGACGGTGCGAAGGAGACGACGACGACAATAACGATTCGATGGATCATGGTGGTGATGGTGCTGGTGCTGGTGCTGAAACTGATGCTGACGCCGACGGCGATGCTGCTGCTGCTGCTGATGCTGCTGCTGCTGATGATGCTGATGATGATGAGGATGAGGATGATGATGATGATGATGATGACGATGATGATGATGATGATGATGATGATGATGATGATGATGATGATGATGATGATGATGATGATGATGATGATGATGATGCTGATGATGCTGATGATGATGATGGGAATGGTTCCGATTAGGTCCATAATGATGGTGCTGCTGATGATGATGCTGATGCTGATGATGATGCTGATGATGCTGATGAGAATAATGATGCTGCTGATGATGGTGATGATCCTGAGGACTTTGACATCGATGTTAATGGTGACGTTGGCGATGCTGATTGCGATGGTGACGGCGCAGCTGATGGTGTTGCCGATGGTGTTACATATGCTGATGCTGATGATGATGCTGCTGATTCCGAATATGTCCATACTGGTGATGATGATGCTTGTATGGTGGTGATGATGATGATGATGCTGGCGATTATGCTGATGATGCTGCTGATGCGGGTGACGCTGATGTTGATGATGATGCGGCTGATGATGTTGCTGCTGCTGTTGCTTCGCAGGATGATGCCGTTTATGATACGATTGGCGACGACGATTGTTGATAATGATGTCGCTGCTGCTGCTGATGCTGGTGATGATGAACAGGATAATGCTGATTGAGAGGATGGTCATGTTGACGATGCCGATGATGACGATAGGGATTATGATGATCAGTATGCTGTGGATGACGATAACGACGACGCCGCCGCTTCCGCCGCCGACGACTATGCTGATGATGAGGGTGGTGATGATGATGATGATGATGATGTTGTTGTTGTTGTTGTTGTTGTTGTTGTTGTTGTCGTTGTTGTTGTCGTTGTCGTTGCTGCTGCTGTCGTTGTTGCTGCTGCTGTTGAAGTTGAGGGTGATGATGCTGATGCTGATGCGGATGCTGCTGGTGCTGATGAGTTGTCAAGCCCACAAGACCGCTTGTATCTGTTGTGGAAAACATCTTTGGCCAAGGCTAGGGGATTCGAGACGTTGCTTGACCCGCTGTAGTCGTTTCGCCTTTCGGCAACCATGCTGCTGCCTGACTCCCGTCTGAGAGTCAGTGTGAAACCACGGTCCCTGAAATCTCCAACCACTCTACGAGCTGTGTAGGCTATCAGAGGAGGCGCAGGGGCCGTTCCCCAGAAGGTTGACACCTGGAACAAGGAGGGGCCCTGGGAGCCGCGAGGAGGAGCAGGGAGCGGGCGGGAAAGCGCCTCCGTCAGGAGAGGTAAGACGGGCAGGCAGCAGGCTGAGCGACCGCACTGTGGGTCCAGCAAGGGGGCGCGGCTGCGGGCAAGGATCTCATTCACCCTCTCTTGCCGTTGCCACCTCCACGCTGGCGACTCAGATGGCCCCTGGGGGCCCCATTCATCTTGACAGCTCCGCCTTTCCCTCGAAGTGCTTCACGCATGGGAGCTGCCCAGTCGGGGTCCAGAGGCCCTGGACCTGCGGCATCTCCGTCGCGACCTCGAGCGGGCTGATCACCGCGTGTGCCTTGCCGGCGTCGCAGTTCTCCAAGCCCTTGAGGATGGTGTCTGGGACCTGGGCCGCGCGCGGCAGTACGGTGGGGGCGTTGGTTAAGGATTGTGCCCAGGAGGTTTCAGACCCTGGAGGGTTCCTTATCTACTAAGGGCGGCGGTGATACCCATGGCCAGTCCACGATTGGAGTTCCACTGGCTTCCAGACCCTGGAGTCCTTATCGAAGGCTTCCTCATCCAATGCCCCAACCGTATTGTCGGAGGCCTGGAAATTGGCACCAACACCAAGACAGAGGGTTGCCTCCAGAGGGGGAAGATGATCCTAGATTTTTGGTGTTGGTGGTAACAGTTCGGCCACCTTGGAAGCCAGAATATTACCACCATCACCGAGATCGGGATCTTCTTCCCTCGGTGGAGGCACACCGCCGAAATTGGTGTTGGTGTCAATCCCTAGGCCTGCGATATTGCCTCTGCGCATGAGCGCAATGTGCGGCTCCTGGGCTCTGCTCCTGGGCGGGGTCGAGCGTCGGCAGAGCAGCCGGCTCCTCCGCCCGGGCGGGCATCACCACGGGCCCGCGCCTTGTCCATCATCGATGGCGGCCTTTTGGAAGCCGTGCGAGGCCATCTGCAGCCTTGGGACTTCCTGCTGACCACTGCCGCGCTGGAGGCTGCGTCGCTCGAGCGACCGCACCCGAGCCTCGAGCTGGATGTGAGGAGGTCGTCCCGTCGTCCCTGTTCGCAGGCCTCGAGGTTGACACCAGCACCACTATCGGCGGCGTGCCTCCACAGAGGGAAGAAGATCCCGGTCTCGGTGATGAAGGTCATATTCTGGCTTCCAGGGTGGCCGAAGTATTACCAACACCGAAATCTATGATCATCTTCCCCTTGTGGAGGCAACCCCCTGTGTTGGTGTTGGTGCCCACCTCCAGGCCTCCAACGAGCCTCGAGCTGGATGAGGAGGTCGTCCCTGTAGCCGTCCTGGTGGCCGCTCTCCGACTCCCCCATCGTGTCGTCTTCGTTCTGGTTGTTGGGCTTGCGCTACTTCTTTGGCTTACCTGGCGCGAGTGAGAAACTATTGCCTCGCGGTCGCACCAGGCCCCCTGAGGACGCGGCGTCCGCCATGTATTCCCCCCAAAAAGGAAGGTGAGAGGCACCCGGAGAGATGCCGACATATGTGCTCGACAAACGTGGTTTGCGGGGTCGAATTCTTCGAGGCAAACGCGACACCTTTGGTACGTTTGTACTCGGAAAAAGTTTGCTCGAAGCGGCTCGAACATGTTTGCTCGAACATTTTCCATACAGGCAGAACTGACATATTAGGCTGCGTTTGGTATGTTGTTTGGCGACGACAGGTTCACGTCATACACTGCCACATAGTAAACATTCGTTAGATGGTTTGCGTACCCGTGCAATATGAAAACGCCCGTGAGTGTCCTTCATGATTAGACGCTATGTGTGCGACGGGCTGTTTTTGTGATGGCCATGTTGTTAGACGTCTCGTGTCATTTGCAAGGAACTCCAGAAGGTTTACATGCTGTCCTCGCCCTCGAGCTCCGTCTGCTTTGCCGTGCTGGTGGCGGGACGAAGTAGAACGACAGCATTCAGCTCCCCGATGTCTAGGCGCTGGAACTGTTCGCTCAAGTCATAAACAAACAGCACATGGTCGACACGCTGTTCTGCATTAAGGAGAAGGTCATCTCCTGACTCTGTGCAGGCGAGCGGGTCGAGGTCCCTTGGTCCAGACATCCATCCCTGAAAGAGCGCTGTTGACGAGGCGCCCCTTGGCGATATTCACCTTGAGCCTCCAGGGGTGGTAGTACCAGAAGCTACCCATGGTGTAGAAATTGATGCGCAGCGCGTACTGACGCTTACCTATCCAAGGTGATGGAGAGAACGTCGATGAGGGATGACCCCCTAGGTAACGCGCATGATGTTTGCAGACTCCTGCTATGCTTGGAAATTATCCTGCGTGCAGGGGTCTGGGCAACGACTGGCCCCCTTGGCCTGCGAGGAGAACGATGTTCCCCTGTTTGCTGATATTCGGCGACCCTCCCACCTCCTCCATACTTTTGCCTATCGCCGTGTTTTCTGCTGCTGATCCTGCTGCTAGTTCCTCCCCCGTCCCCGTCCCAATTTTTAGTACTTAGTTAGAAAGCTGCTGCTGCTGAAACTTATGATGCTGCTGTTGATGATGCTGATGCTGATGATCACGATGAGCATGGGGGGAGGAGGAGGCGGAGGAGGCGGGGGACGAGGAGGAGGAGGAGGGTCAAGCTAGCCAGGTCGAAGGAGTGAGAGGGCTCTGTCATTTCTCACCTTCGAGAGAGAGAGGGAGTGAGAGAGAGCGAGAGAGAGAGAGAGAGACAGCGATAGGGAGAGAGAGAGAGAGAGAGAGATGAGAACGAGAGAGAGAGAGAGAGAGAGGGAACGAGAAAGAGAGGGAACGCGACAGAGACAGAGAGAGAGAGAACTAATCAGAGAGAGAGAGAGAGAGACAGAAAGAGAGAGAGAGAGCGAGAGAGAGAGAGTCAACGAGAGGGAGCGGGAGAAGGAGAGGGATACTGAGAGAGGTGGATGCAATCACCCATGCATGCATGCACGTACATGTGTACCTCTATATTTATATATGCATATATGTATACATTTTCATATGTATATGTATATATAAATACATAGGTATGTACATCGATGCACGCACACACACATTCAGGCATTCCCAGCCTGACGCCTTTGGCCACACAGACATGGTGATACTGAGGATGATGCGATTGATGTTGGCAATGATAATGCGGCTGATGGTGATGATGCTGAGTATGATGCCGATGATGATGATGATGATGATGATGATGATGATGATGATGATGCTGGTGATGGTGCTGATTGTGATGATGAGGATGATGATGCTGATGCTGCTGATTGTGATGATGATGCTGATGATGATGATGCTGATTCTGACGATGATGACGATGCTGACGATGCCAATACTGATGCTGATGATGCTGCTGATGATTCTGCTGATGGTGATGCTGATACTGCTGGTGATGATGCTTATGCTGATGCTGATG